ATAAATAAAATATTAATGTGTTTAGAAAATGTTTTAAAGATAAGCTTAAAATAAAACATATTTTTTTAAAAAAACTCATGATATAATTTAGAATTAAAAAAATTATTTAAGGGGCAGAAAATATTGTAAAAGAAAAGTTGTTGATTGAAGTATATATCTCAAAATATATCTCAACACTTGAAAACACTTAACAGAAAATACTTGTTATCAGTTAACAGAAGATAAAATATAAAATATATTTTTTAAAAGCTTTTTGCAAAGAACATTAAAGTTATTCAAAATACCTATAATTGTGATTTAGAGGTATCAGTGATGCTCGGTACATTACATATAACAAGTTTGAATGTGTTTGAATAAGAAAATTCATGGTGGTATAAATGCTTTTTCTAGATTGTTTTCAAATCCAATGAAATATGCTTCAATTACCTGTAAAATGCGTTCTCGAAACCTATAAAAGATATTAAATATATTGCTTATTTTGCATTTATATAAAATGCAAATTACTCTAAAGTATTTCTTATTGTTATAATATTTTAGTTCTTAAGGTAAATTTATCATTAATATTTTGCATAATAGAGTTTGTTTTTCTACTTGTTTCTCTGTGCAGTTTCTTAAACTCTTTTCTCATTGCAGCGGCCTTGTTCATCAAGGTTTGTATTTTGAAGTTAAAGAGTAGAGAGGGAGTTGTAACCAAAATAAAGTAACTTCCTCGACTGTAGAGGCCTTCTCAGCTTTGGGGAGGTGAATAACATAAAAATACATATATTTAAATAAATATACTTTTTTTAAAATTAATATACATATTTTAGTTAATTAAAAAATTTGTTGAATGAACTTAATTTTTTGTTAACATTTTTAAAAGGCTAACTTTTTGGTTGAAACATTAGAAGATCAATTCAAAGATGTTCAAGAAGAAACAAATACAAGTCATGTCATGCAGTTTGGGGATATGGTTACAAATTTTTAGTTGTTACTTATTCAATTGGGTATTTTTTTAAAACCTTTTTTTAGTATCGCGAATAACCTCTATTTAGAATGTTAGTAAAATGACACTTGGATTGTTCCAAGGAAATGGTAACAGCTTTATTCCCAAAAACGAATATTCTAAAAAATCGATTATAGTAAGCTTTTGTAATAATTGTAAAATAAATAATATTGTTTGTTTTTATAGTTAAATTTATAGCATTTAAATTATTTTATATTATTCATATATTTACTATTTTTATTATTTTATTTTCATTTATTTTGTTATAATGATAACATATTTAATGATACAATGGCCTGATAATTACTTAGACTGATGCTGTTCCATCTCATGATGTTGTTCCAAGTATTCTTTCTCGTATTGCCAGTGAAGGATCAACACCAGAGATCCGAAATGTTGCTCAAAAAGCATTGAATGAAGTGAATCAGGTATGTCAACCAAAAGTGATATAAATTATTATTTAAGAGAATCTGTGTTCTATTTTAAAATAATTTTTTTATTGATTATGTTTTAAGAAACGTATTGAATGTTGGACTGTTATTCGGAAAATTGTTTCGGAACTTGTTTCTGCGTCAAAAGAAGAGGAGGTTCTAACCAAACCTGGAAAACCTATATATGAAGAGTGTTATAAACAGTCTGTTACAAAATTTAGAGAATATTGTTTTAATTTTAATGAGGTTAGAATTTAAATTAACAAAATTTATTTAAAATTCATGAACTTTTATATGAAGCCTTTTTATACTAAACATAAAAAAGTATTGTATACTTTAGTACATGGGATTCTACACGGTGCAATTATAGTAAGCCCCATTAACATTCACAATAAAAAATTATTTTGCTAAAGAAATACGAGAAGTTGCATATACAACTTTTATATAACATGTATATTTTTGTTAAGTAAAGCATTTAATGCAATTTTGTGATATATTATAAAAATATTTTTGCATTTTACTTAGTACGAACATGCGTTAAGACATGTGTATGTTTTGGCTAATTTATGTGATGAACGCATACCAACTGAAAAGTAAGTTTTCATGATTCAGTAAACTCGAACGATTGTTTAATCATTTAAGATTTGATAAAACGAATGATTATTTATAGTTTAATAATACTTATCGATTGCCATTTTAGGATTACTCGTGTTATTAAAACCGTGTGTCAAAAACGTAAACTTGCATAAGAAAGCAGCATAAAAAGTATTTTTTACCTATATATATATATATATATATATATATATATATATATATATATATATATATATATATATATATATATATATATATATATATATATATATATATAATATATATATATATACATATGTCATATACACACTGTTATTATTATATAAATAAATATAAAAATAGTATATTTTAAAAATAGTAAACATTGAAAATTTTTAAAAATGTTACATGTAATTTACATTTCTGTTAAATTTATAATGTATATTTATGTAATTACGTGAAATGGATATGCTTTGTATTATAGGTATCCTTTTTATATTGTTTTTATTGATTGAATATATTTTTAATAAAATTTTATTTTTTGAAATCTTGATTTATGATCTATAAAAACCAATCTTCGATTTTTATAAATGATAAATCGAAAGGTATTAGGTATGTTCCAAATATGGCCAGCTCTGGCTATATTTGGGATATTGGAAAGGCGTGAGCTTCTAAGTTAAATTCTCTTACGCAGTGCTCTATGACAAGACCGTAAGATTTTGCCATAGAGCACTGCGTAAGAGCATTTGTCATAGACCTTTAACCAGGTTTTAAAAAATCAAATCCTAGTACATAGTCAAATCTATCCTTTTGTGCTTCGGTATCTTCCTCTCTTTTTATTTAAAACGCTTTTAAGAGTATTGCTTTTTCACTTATGCTCTTATAAAGAGTTGCGTTAAATACTTATTTTTACTAAGGTTCAGAAGCATCAAAATTCCCACAAAAATATCTGTTTTGTTTGTTAAATTGTTTTAAATTTACGTCAGACAAGACGCCTGCTTATCCCACACGGCTCTTTCAGAGTGAGCTTTACGGCTTCTTGTTTTTTTTGGAAAATGTTTACTTAGGGGGTGTTCCTAAAACATTTATAACTTTTGAAATATTTGAGATAATTTTGTTTTGTAAAAAGAATAAAAACAAAAATAAACTATTTTATCATACGATATTTAATACAATAGTAAAAAAAACTTCTTTTATTTTATAAAAAACGCGACAAATGATGAACTTGGCTAAATTTTAGTAATTTCTTGTTACTTTTTATCAAAAAAAAAAAAAAAAAACAGAAAAGTATATTTCTGATAGTTATTATCAATTACACTCGTTGTTTGACTATTATTAAAATAAAAAAACCTTACTTTAATTGCTTAAGGTTCTTACAATTGAAGTTTGCAAGCAAGCCGCATTTTTTGCAAAATTATTAAAAATGTCGTTTAAAAAGGGATTATTTGTTAAATGAGTACGTTTTTAAATATGAAAATGTTAAAAAATTAAGACTCACTAAGACTAATAAAATAATTCATGACCACAACTGTGTTAAAGTTTTTGAATTAACCTCGCTTTTGGTAATAGAATTATTTAATGGCACTTGAGTCAATCTCTTCTCACAAAAAATAAAACATTTATTTAAATAAACAAATAGCTAATTTTATTTATTTGATGTGTTTTTATTCTCATATAAAACTGTTTTATAATAAGTTGATCTACTGATTCTGTCCTTTAAGTAGGAAACAATCTTTGAACACCCAGTTGATATTAGATTCATGCTCCATTCTAAACCAGAAGATTAGTTTTTAGAAGATAGTTTTTGTTCAACAAGATTAGAAGATGGCTTTCAACAGACTCACAATAGTGACAATAACTTTTACAAATTCTTTATTTGAACTGTATCTTTACACTAACTTGTTATTTATCAGACTTAAATTCTATTCTTTAACCAGACAGAAGGTATGTTGAGGAGAGATACTGCAGAGGTAGAACTAACTTCTGATGATAATAATTGAAAGGGCATCTAATATTTAAATTAAATGTTACATATACTAAATGACAATACATTTTTAAAATTAACTACACAAACTAATATTTTATATCATAGCCAACAAACTTACCAGTTGCTCTGCTCATAAGTTAAAGTAGTAAGCTATATTTTTATACCCATTTGATGCAAGACTTATGTACCATTCTTTAACCTGGATGGTATTGCATAAGTATTATTAACTTATTAAGATAAGAATGAAATGGGCACTTATCTAATATATAAAATTAATAATAAAAAATAAAAAATATTTTAAAAACTTTATTTTTTAATTATTTAGACTAAATTTTATGACCACAAACAAGACAAAGGCCTCGTCTTTAAAACGAATTTTCACCACGCTCAGAACACACAACACACTTTCTCACCTTAGAGACTTGAAGCTTCCTATCAGCTTTGCTGTGCAATTCAAAGCGTTTTAAAACAAGACGCAGCTTCTGTTCCTGATTTTTTACTGAACACAACTGTTTTAATTCCTTATTTACACTATTATGCAAACACTCTTCCTCCTCTTCACTCAGCAACCCAATAGTTTTATGCAATTTTACAAAAAGTGGCACATTAAAATTGAGTTCATGTATTTTTCGCGTGATACTTTCTTTTGGAAAGCAAGCATGAAACTCGATAGCAAATAAATTTATATATTGATGAAGCTTAGCAATTTCGGCATCAGAAACAAATTTTTGCTTAAAAAGAATAGGTTGCAACTTATTAAAAACACTAAACACACGTACAAATCTATTTTTAATAGTTTCATTATCAATAACACTACGAAGTGGTTTCTTAAGACTATTTTGCAATGATTACCCGCAAACACATTACCATGGTACGCTTGTCGCTCAACCTTCATATCTTCAAGGGCCTTATTAAGAGACCTCTCATGAGTCCCCATGCTACTTTTGGATATTTTTTCTAGGTCTTCACACTCCATCTGCAATTTAATATATTCAATGTCTAAAACTTCGCGTTGTGCGCGTATAAAAGAAATTTTTTCAGAAATATAAAGGTCAAGACATTCTATATCTTCACCCTGACACGCTAAACATTCGTACATCTCTATTTCACACAATACACTCTTTTCTGAATCACCAATAATTTCACAAAATTGATGAAACCATTTTTGGCACGTAACACACTGCACCCAATCAACGTTACAATCATATTTAGTAATTAAACACCTGATACTAGCACACATTTCTTGCTGTTTACAGTTGTTTTTTTTTTATTTGAAGAGTCAAGGGATATTTTTTCTAATTCAGAAAAATTGTTATTAAAAGCCAACCATCGCGCCTTTAGATTTGCAATGTCTACAAATTGATTTCCTAATAAACGCAAAGTTTCTGCTGTTTTAGAACATTCAACGCTTCTAGCAGCCCACAATTCATTCGTTCTCACATTCTCATTATGCGACAAAGACGATTCAGCTTGACAATCTAAAGTCTTATACTCCTTCAACAATAACTTATACAGTTTTAACACAACTCCTAACATAATATGTAAAACAGGTGGCACTACATTATTTAAAGTTATTATGGGGAATATCACAGGAGCAATAATTGATTTATAAAACTTACCTAGAGCTCTTAAATTTCCACCTTGCCTATTTTCACACAAGTTCTCATTGTAAGCACTTTCCAGAGATTGTATTGTCCTCCTTAAGATGTTACAATTAGCAGGTGCGTGAGGCATAGAAGCATGGCTTCTAAGAGATTTCAATTCAACTAGACACCTGGTGTTCCAGAACATCATCGATAAAATGAAAATCTCTACCTAAGAACAACCTGACTATTTTGTCTTTTAACTTAAAATCTGGCGATTGAATTCTTTTAATGTCGTTGGCATAATGCCCGAGAATTAAGGCAATATTCTCACGACAGTCTGAACCCTGATACATACAAAACAAATGAACATCATATACAGACCCTGACGATTTCGAATTGACAACTTCAAAATGGAATTTCATATACTTTCCACCTTTATCCCCAGCAAAAAGGAGCCATACCTCTTCGCCAAAACCAACTTCCGAACTAAGGTGGTCGCGTACGTGAAGACTATTAAAAACCTCTTCAATATAAGTTGTCAAATTCTTGACCATCAGTACAGATACTAAACAAGGTGCTTCATTCGCAGATGGATAAAGTAACATGGACTTCACAGTGACATGTTCTTTATTGACATGCATTGTCCGCATTTCTTGTTCTTGTCTAATCTTGGGCTCAGAGGCGAGAATCCTTACACAAAATACGTTTTAGCCTACGGAATTCAGCCATGGGCATCCTTAATTGGCTCTGCAGCTCTACAGTATCAGAAACACTTAATTGCTTAACTAAACCTAACTTATTTGCAACATAATAATATATTGACTTTTCACAAGACATAGAATCACATAACAACAACAACAAGACAAATCAATTTCAAAATCTGAACAAGCTAATAATCGAAGGAATATAAAAGCAAGTCTAGATCGTCTAGCTGCAGCATGCCTACCTAACTTAGAATAAGGTTTACCATGTCCTAACTTAATGTAAGTGTATTTTTTACCAACTATTGGCCTTTTTTTTCAAAATAAGTTGGAACTGCTCCTCCTGTTTTAGCCTAATACTCATAGTCTCAACTTGAGAATATAATGAGTTACAATGTGTGCTAAGAGTCTTATTTTTAAAATTTAAATTACAAATTTCAGTATCCAACTTTAATAACTGCGATTTTAATTTCTCTATTTGCTCTACATTTGTTTTATTTTCAGAAGTCAATAGGCGATATTCGAAATTAATTTTAAAAGGCGAGAAATATTTTTCCGTGCGTTTTTACATAAAAAAAGTAGATATAAACAATGCGAGGTGGAAATAAGTGATAAGATAAACAAATTAGTTATTAAGATATCTAATAACAACTTTGCAATTTTTAAAAGTTTGCTTTTAAAACAAGAATAATATATATATATATATATATATATATATATATATATATATATATATATATATATATATATATATATATATATATATATATATACATATACATATATATATATATATATATATATATATATATATATATATATATATATATATATATATATATATATATATATATATATATATATATATATATATATATATATATATATATATATATATATATATATATATATATATATATATATATATATATATATATATATATATATATATATATATATATATATATATATATATATATATATATATATATATATATATTTATAATATATATATATAAATATAAATTTCGCTTTAGAACGCTGAAGTGTACGCACGTGTTTGTTTTTTTTTTCAACTGCTTGAAGAAATAAAAATTCAAAACTTATTATTATAAAATTACAGATAATAATTATGAATATAAATAAAAATACTGAAGAAATTATTAAAAAAATGCTTGAAGAGCAGAAAAATATTATATTAATGGAGACCGAAAGACTTCTCAAAGAACAAGAAAAA